TGGGGATTTCTGGCCCGTCAGGCCCACTAATGGAAAATGAGTGAAGAAAACGCGTAGCGCTTCTCCCAGGTCTCATTTCCAAGGTTTTCGGGGATCCTTACACGTGTAATTTCCGGCGTGCTTGAATGTTCTAGGTGCGCAACCACTCCATATTTGCAAAAACACCGATTTGGCCGATTGTCTCTCGAAAAGACGCACTACAGTGGAGGGGCAGAACATAAAAAAATAACATCATAAAAAATACATGCCGACAGCGGCATTTGTATTGCAGGCAGAGACGGGGTGGCGATGTAGAGTTAAATATCATATCTAATAATCATGTTTTTTAAAAGAAGTCATATTAGGGCTGTTAAGAGGTGCGGTACAAAATGTCAGAGGCGTGCTAGTTTCACGCACTGGCTGATAGATGCGAGGCGACGAGCCGAGGGCGCTGGCTTTGTGTTCGCGCTGGGATGTTTCCGCCAAGTGAGAACAAGGAACGGGGAGGGGCCAACGCGGGGGGGGGGGGGGGTGAGTACCCAATCACAGCTCCCCTAGTGCCGGGGCCTGACGTTCGCGCACCCCTTTTAACCAATCAGAGCGCTACCATCGGCTCGTACCCCCGTGGGGTCCGGAGCCGCTGACAAAAACAGCGGCCGGTCTTTCATTCCGATCCCGCCAATCGGCGGCGACCGAGGTGTTAATCTGAATCCTGATTGGCTCAAGGGGGATTTCTTACGGCTCGCACTCCTTTCCTATAACATCTTTAACCCCTTCCTACCATTTAATCAGAAACCGGCTCGCACAATGAATCCACGCTTAACGAAATATTGACACAGGACCTAGGTCGCTTGATATATTCCCGTTATATTAGATAAAACGTGATGAACGAGCCACCTTCCGAAAGGGGGGGGTCGCCTCGTAATACGTTTTCCTCACCTCTGACTTTGTTCACGTCCATATGGTTCACAAAAATATATTCGCACAGATTCTGGTATAATCTAAAATTTAAGAAAGTCGAACGATTACGTTCTGTGTTTCAAAAAAATTGAATAAGCGGGGGGGTGGGGGGGAGTATTTCAGTGGTTTATAAGCCGTCCCAATGAACGTCGTTTTCCCCCAATTACCCTACCTGACGCCTGCTTTGTTTGAGACTGCTGGCGTACAAACCACGGGTGTTTAACACACGGACCATCACCACTTGACTTGTTTTATTGTCAAGCAAGCGAAGTCTGCGGCACCGCCTCAGAGAGACGCAGGCCCGACGGCTCTCCCTTTGCGGGGCGACCCCTCCCCCCCGGCCGCCGCAGAGAAAGCGGGGCAGCTCGCCCGCGGAAACTTTTCCTCCGTTTTTAGCACCCTGTATTTATCATCCCCGCGCTCAAGCTCGAGAGACTAAGCTGTCCTGTACTTTGCAAATCGGCAGGAGTCCGGCAGCAAGGCAGTGCTGAGGCCCATATTTAACGGGCCGTCTTAGTTTCCCTGTGTCAGGTGGGACGGCGAATCGGCTCTGCAGCCGAGGGATTGAATACAGCTGGCAAGCTGTCGCTGTTTTATTGTGCAGTACAGGAATGCTTTAGACGCCCGTCAAAGTGTGTAGGTGACGTGAGTTTGCCCCGAACGTACCTAGAAGGGCGACTTTAATACGAAGCAATAAAAGCAGTTGCTTGGCGTTGTAGTCCTGCTGTTTCATAGCTACGCAGAGCCCCACCCCCGGTACACTGGACACCAGTATTTTCTGTTCTCAATACGTGAGGCAGCAGCCGATGGGCCTTGGGGCTCCGGGCTGGAGTGTGGACTCCCATCTGGCGTGGAGCGGTCCCGTTGAACACGCAGGCGAGAAACTGCACCGACACCGCTCTCGCGTCGGGGTGCGAGTTCTCGGGGCCCATCGTGGTAACTGGGAGAGCATGTGTTCTTAATTGGCTCCGATAAGGTTAAATAGGGGATCCGGGAGAAGCGAGCCCAAAGGCCCGACACACCGAACAAAGAAACTACAACCCTGCCACCCCGTGGACACAGTGGCGAGTTGCACGAGACGAGAACTTGCCCAGGAAACGAAGGAACTTCGGCGTCCCTCTCCTCGCTGTGTTCAGATCTATAACAATGGACCTGTTAGGCATTTACTGCTACTGCTGCTTCTACTAAATAATAACGGATGCTGTTATAAATCTGTTTTGGAATTTATTCCAGCGTAGGTCGCCGGGCTCCTCGTCACTTTCGTGTGCTGAGCTAGGAGTGTGTGCAGATCCACTTTCCCAGCGTAACGTGAAAATAGAGCGTTTCACGACTGTTTAAGGGATGTAATTAAAAATAATAAGATAAATACGTAATTTTTACAACCTAGTGATGAAAAGGAATCTAATTTTCTGAAAATTCTTACTCCTCACTTCTCATATAATGTCCTTACGCCTTCAGTCTCGGCCCTCGGTCAGTCTGAGTGCAAAGACAAGGCAGTGTCGGGTGAGCTCTGGGTGTGTGTGTTGTTTGTGAGATCTTCCTGCTGCACAGTTTGTGTGTGTTTATGAGATCCTGTGCTTGGTATGTGAGTGTGTACATGTGTGTGCATTGTCTGTGAGATCCTCTGTGCAGGTCCTGGGTGTTGATGTGTGTGTGTGCATGTTTGTGTTTGTGAGATCCTCTGTGCTGTTTTTGTGTATGTGTTGATGTGTGTGCTTGTGTATTTGTGTTTGTGTAGGTGTGTGTTGATCTGTGTGTGTGCATGTGTATGTGTGTTTGTGATGGTGTGTGTTGTGTTTGTGATGGTGTGTGTGTTGCATGTGTTGATGTGTGTGTCGTGTTTGTGATGGTGTGTGTTTGCGGGTGATTTGCTGTCATGGTCCCAGTCCTCTGGGCGTGGTGTCGGGTGACGGGAGCAGAGATGATTCCGCCTGGGACGCTGTGTCCGCAGTCCGGCTCTGGGAGGACAGGAGAGCCGGCGGAGAGACGGGGCCGGGGCGCTGCGCCTCCTGCCGTGAAGTGGAATGGCGGTACAGCGGTTAATAGGGTAGAAAGAGCTGGGGGCTGTTAACTCCGAAATGTTCATTTTAAACCCTGGTGTCTCGCCGATTGCGTCCCCTCCTCTGGCGGCGGAAGCGTAATGATGGCCATTTGAGTGTCATCAGAGGCGCGCAGTAATGGGCTCTGAAGCACCATTTCGACGTGAACCTGGCGGCTTCACTCAGGAAAAACATCTGGTTCACCATCCCGCGCCCCTGCCTGCGCCAGATGCAGCACGGAAAGAGGGCAGCGCCTCTCTGCCCGCTAATGTTGCATGAAATACCAGGAAGGCGCCCCACGAGCAGCACACATCTACGTGTAAATACACAGCACAACTGCGTGTGTCCCTACGATATACTGTCTGTGGAGAGGTAATGGATGTGGGTAATATTAAATGTGAATAGCTATGCTGGAGTGCCACACGGAAGAACGCTAGGAAGATTGCAAAGGAGGCCGTTCAAGTTCGTCTATCCCATTAATCGGTGTGGGATGGAAGTTAGTACTTAATTGACTTCATCCAGCTGTCTTCTGAAAGGAGCCGGGGACCCTTCAACAACATGGCTGGGCGACTTGTTCCACACCCCTACAACCCTTTGGGTACAGAACTGCCACCTGTTCTTGGTTGTAAAAACACTTTCAATTAGTTTCCACTTCTGTCTTCTGGTTCGTGGTTACTGTATGTACAGCCAAGCCTCTCAAGTTCACTTCATGCAGCCCTTTGCTCTTTACCGTGTGTGTGAAGAAGCTGCTTCAGCCAAGGAGTCCGAGCTCAGCAGTAAAACTTTGCGCTGCTGGGAGCTCTTCTTCCTTCGGCATGACGGGCAGGCTGCAGCAGGTTTTCTAACTCTTTAAATCATCCACAGCGGAAGATTTCTGAGAAAGTGCTAAAGCCGCCTAGTCGAGCTAATTATCGGCTCAATTAGGTCATTAAGAGCAGAAATGGAAAGGAAACCCACTGACACCCCGACACCGCGGCCCCCGCAGGACAGGAATTGTGCACGAGTGCAGCAAGCTGATTGGTAGGCAGCTAGTGAACATGATGGCAAAACTCACTAAGGATTTTAAGAGCTTTGCTGCCCCCTAGCGGTCAGTCCCCCACATTGACAGGACAACGCTGTTGCACAGCATGTATGATCACCGCAAGGCCGCCTCCCGGTTTCCATTACTAGACTAAATCGCCGAGACCGATGCTTGAATCCAATCTACACGTTAGAATAATTGCAGTCTGCTTATTAACAAAACTAATGTAGAGAATAAGAGAATGAATAAACTGAGCAGTAGATATTTCAAGAGAGGCAGGGGTATCGGAGTACTTAATACACAGATGTATGTTCCAATTCCAGAGGACTGCACACAGGAGTTTCAACTCTTCTATAGACTGATTGATCATCTGACTGACAGTGCAGTGTGGGTAGTTCTTGGACCCGATGTCAGCACCCTCTGCATGCACCAGGGTTGTAGAAACTTGAAGCATGTTGGACATGCACCTTCGGATGGGATACCGCATGCAGCAGGATAGCTTGTGTACACAGACCCAATCATCCCCAGGCGTACAAAGCCTGCTTGCCGATTTGTGGGCCTCAGCTGCCATATAATGGGATCAGAGGGACCCTGCAGTTCTCCAGTCAGGCCAGCAGTGTTAAACCCTGGTCACAGGGGAGTCAGTTAGCTCACCATCCTGGAGTGATGAACTGGACAATACCGCCCCCTAGTCAACCTCCACCACTGCAGTCCACCAACACTAGCACAACATGCATGAAACCAGAACAGTCACTTTTCAAGGCACAGGACAAGCCCAGCACAAACAAAAACCCCTACCATGCATCATTTTCTTTAAATGGAACTAAAAGTGGAAGTGTCGCACATTTGTTTTGGTTTGCCGTGCAAGTACTAAACCATTTACTGCATTGCTTCATTTTCACATGAGCCTCAACAAGACAGTATCCATATTTGAAGAAACCATGCTCCACAGATGGCACATTGAGCTGTAGCATGCATTGAGTTAAAAAGGGAAGAGAAAGTCGTTTTTCATCTTTTATTCCAAGAGCAACTACGGAATTTTACATCAGGGAATGTACACCGTTCTTGTGGTGGGGAAAAAAAAAAAAGGCAACATACAAAAAAAAAAAAACTATGTATATAAATGTACAGGCAGGAAGTCAGGACTTGGGCTGGAGTTTTGATTACCCAAGTGGAAAGTCACAGAAGGGGGGTGGAAGGGAATGCTTGGGTGTGCGATGTCACAATGGGGCACCTGCTTTGAACAGCAGTGAAGCATGACGCAACAGTCCAACTACTGTTCTCAGGCTTTTCAGAGTCATTACATCACCATCCTAGGTTTCCTCATTATGCCACCATGATGAACAGGAACAAAAAAAAGTCACAGTCCATTCTGTTAGAAGCATTTGCGGTGGACGATGGAAGGACCGGACTCGTCGTACTCCTGCTTGCTGATCCACATCTGCTGGAAGGTGGAGAGGGAGGCCAGGATGGAACCGCCGATCCAGACGGAGTACTTCCGCTCCGGGGGGGCAATGATCTGGGTGGGAGAAAAGGAAACGGTTATGACAACTGTTGGTAAGCCGAGGAAGAAGATTGAATAGAGACACTAGCTTGCGGAAATGTGTGCTGCACCATGGCAAATAGGTCAAAGCATGCATTGTCCACTGAACATTTTACACTTGCAGTACAGCTGTAAAAAAAAAAAAAAAAAAAAAAACACACACCTTGATTTTCATTGTTGCAGGTGCCAGAGCAACAATCTCCTTCTGCATTCTGTCTGCAATGCCAGGGTACATGGTGGTACCACCAGACAGCACTGTGTTGGCGTACAGGTCCTTACGGATGTCGACGTCGCACTTCATGATGGAGTTGAAAGTAGTCTCATGGACACCACAGCACTCCATGCCTGCACAGAGGAAGACGGTCAGGATTAGGAAAGAAAGCTGTTCAGTTAGTATTTCCCCAGTCTGTTCTATTGCAAAGAAACTTCATCATACCACAAAGACTATACATTTTAAGTTTTTCCTCTTGTACTCCCCTCCCTCCCCCCATTGCCAGGGGAGTGGATAGACCTAAAACATCTTAACCGCAAGTGACGCCCATTGAAAAGCCGCTGCAATGTCAGCAGGTTGTGAAGGTACCGGGGCTTTCACAGATATCAGGAGTCACAGATCCTGTGACATCGGACTCGGGTCTGTGGTCATTACTCCTTACCTGGCTTGAAGGAATTTTAAAGACACCCACTATTGTACGCGACACCTCAGGAATAACCACTGGGCCATAAGAGGAATGAGCACTCTTTAACCCCCATTTGCAATAGTGTGAACATAGCCGAATCTGAAGAGAAGACCCATCTGTAACACCATTGCAACTAGCGGCACTCTGGAGCTCCACCCTGTGCACATCATTATTCTCCGGCCATCCTCTTTACAATGAGACGAGCCCCAGACCCTCACTGGACTGCACTGTGACCCCCCCTGCATGCCTACACTGCTGGGTGCCGCCACCTGCCGAAGACCTGCCACCTACCCAAGAAGGAAGGCTGGAAGAGGGCCTCTGGACAGCGGAAACGCTCGTTGCCGATGGTGATGACCTGCCCGTCGGGCAGCTCGTAGCTCTTCTCCAGCGAGGAGGAGGAGGCCGCCGTCTGCATCTCCTGCTCAAAGTCCAGAGCCACGTAGCAGAGCTTCTCCTTGATGTCGCGCACGATCTCGCGCTCGGCCGTGGTGGTGAAGCTGTAGCCGCGCTCGGTCAGGATCTTCATGAGGTAGTCCGTGAGGTCGCGGCCAGCCAGGTCCATACGCAGGATGGCGTGGGGCAGGGCATAACCCTCGTAGATGGGCACGGTGTGGCTGACGCCATCACCCGAGTCCATGACGATACCAGTGGTCCGCCCTGAGGCGTAGAGGGACAGCACGGCCTGGATGGCTACGTACATGGCTGGAGTGTTGAAGGTCTCGAACATGATCTGGGGGGTGGAGAGGGGAACCAAGTTACACAGGTGAGCGTCACAGCAACTGAAGGCTCACAACGGCAAGGCCAACACCTCGCATCATGCATGTGTAACGTTATGGGCAGTGTTTAGGGCCTGCTAAGAGCATCGTTACAGCACACCCACCTAAGCAGTGCACACAGGTGCAAGATTCTCTTGCACTCAAGCTTTGTACTACAGTTGGGGACAGTGAGTGCGTGGAAAAGTATAAAGCAGGGTGGGTTTAAAAGCCTAAGCTCACAAAATAAAAGCCAACATCACAAAAGGGAGATGCAGGATTGTTTGCCGAACTGAAGATTCATTTAGATCCAGCAAGGATATTATTTCACCCTATACCCAAAATGGATGTTGGATTAGATAAACACAGGGTGACCAACCTTCACCAGAATGGCAAATTAACCCCTGCCCAAGATAAGTTCCCATTTTCACTGCTCCTTATGGAAGTACTCTGGACCCTCTGAAAGGACAGCTTCCTTCAATATAGGAGCTTTATGTCAGACTTTGGTATGGGACAAATACACTGGCCACACAGGAAGCAGGTATTGTTCTAACACACCTCCTCTCTCAGGGCGAGAAGGACCCCAATAGGTCCCACTCAAGTCCCGCATGCACCTGCCGCACGGAGGGCAAGATTACCTGCGTCATCTTCTCCCTGTTGGCCTTGGGGTTCAGCGGGGCCTCGGTGAGCAGGACGGGGTGCTCCTCGGGGGCCACGCGCAGCTCATTGTAGAAGGTGTGGTGCCAGATCTTCTCCATGTCGTCCCAGTTGGTGACGATGCCGTGCTCGATGGGGTACTTCAGGGTCAGGATACCCCTCTTGCTCTGGGCCTCGTCCCCGACGTAGCTGTCCTTCTGGCCCATGCCCACCATCACGCCCTGCGGGAATTGGGCAGCAAGTTAACCGACTGCCCCAGCTCCGGCTTTGTCATCCCAGGTTACTCCGCCATCTTAACAGCCAACACCCGCTCGTGAGCCGGACCTCATGCCAAGACCCTTAAAGCCTCTAGATCAATGGCATCCACCGCCACCTTAAAGCTACAGGAGCAGGTCTGCTCACCTGGTGTCTGGGACGTCCCACGATGGAGGGGAACACTGCACGGGGGGCATCATCCCCGGCAAAGCCAGCTTTGCACATTCCAGAGCCATTGTCGATGACCAGGGCAGCAATATCGTCGTCAGCCATTCTGTGGAGGGAAAAAAGATGGATCCTTTCAAAACACCTCCCCCAGACCGCAAAGTCTCAGGCACTGGACAAATGCAGACCAATGGGGAGGGGGGGGGGGTCGATTGAACCTCGTTTCCTGGAAGCAGGCTAAGCCAGCACATACCAGAAAAGCTACGTTTTATCTAAACCAAGGCACCGGCAAGAGAAGAGCAAGCGTCTCCCCAGTCCAGCGGCAGGCATAGATCCAGTAAAAGGGAGATCGTTTTGAAAGTTCAGATTACTCTCTACGCCCGAGTATCCTTCCTCACTCATCACGGCCGTCCTTTCAAAGCTCTGAAGTCTTGTTCTCGACACCTGGCATACACTGAACGAACAGAAAATTGTACGGCGCCCGTGTGGGTCGCGTTCATTTTCGGACACGACGAGAAGTCACAAAAAAAAAAACAATATTAAACCAGACGTTGAAGTGCGGTCCACAAAAGCCACGTGTGGACCGAACCGTGTAGAAAACTTGTTGTAATTAAAAAAAAAAAGGTACAACAAAGGAGGTAGTTGCTCGGGACGCCGTAAACGCATTAATAATGAAAGGATAAATATGCGGTTACTTTATCTCTGGGTACAACTGCCTCGTTAACTTAAGAGCCAGCACTACAAAGCCGGGTTATCCCCTTTCACAAAGCAGGAATAACCCCACCCTGCCGGCCGAGCTGTCGCCCGCCAGGCTGTCGGACATGAATAATTCAGCTACCCGCCGCGGTTACCGGCTTATTGTGGCATTTTGAACTATCAACCCCCCCCCTCAGCGCAAAAGAAAAGTGCCGTCCAACCCTCACTGAAGGAGGCAGGCTCGTTTTTGCCACGTCTCTTCGCTTTTTAAGTGAGGTGCGGGCTCGGGACCCAGCCCGGAGGAGAATGAATGAGGGGCGGACCGCCACTCCCCTCGCAGAGGCGCGCCGGAGAGGATGCGAGAGCATCTGGTGTCTGGACCGCAAGGCTCGATCACGGGGGTCCCTCCGCCGTGCACAAGTCGGACAGCCGTGAAACCGAGCACTTCGTTTCCTTATCTAACGATTTGCAACATCCCGACAGTTTATTGGGGGGGGGTACAACACGGACGGACCGACTGCCCTCGCGTTTTAAAGTGACTAGAGAAAATGAATGGAGAGCGGTAAATATGTACTTCGAGTAGTGGAGTTTACTGCCACTTGTTCAGGCACTCCGGAATTCATATTCCCCAATAACGGCACGACTTTAGCACAAGTTCTCGTTCTACACGGGCTATCGGCTAAGGCAGACAGCCTTTCGCCTCCAGAAAAAAAGAGAGCCGAAGACAAGCAAATAAGCAATTAAATGCGTCTTCATAAACCACCTGCAAGACATACCCAAACGCTAAACGAGGTACAAGCTCAAGCCCCGGTTACCTGTAGCAAAAGGCGGTGTCCTTGTGCCTTCGGGAGGATGGAGGTGTACGAGCACGCTGAGACGTCCGCAGCCGGCGGGTGACCGAACTGTCCGGCTCCTTCTCCCTTTTCAATCTCACAACACGAGCCCGGCCCTCCCTCCGCGCGCACCTAACCTCGCCAAATATGGGCATCTTTCACAAAAAAGCGTCGGGATTGGCTGCCAAGGTCCCTGTTCACGTGACTTCCGGACTCTGAACGTGGCCTGAATCCCCCCCCGCCCGTCGGAAGCTACCTTGGAAACGCTGAGTTACCTGTTTGGTAATGACCGGTGTAAAACTGGTTGATGGGTGAACTTGGAGAAATAAAAATAAAATTAGACTGATGATGAAAATCGGGGTCCGGTAAATTACCCGTGTTGATCAATCTTTATCTAAAATGGCAAACTCTTATTATGGAAATAAATGTTGCTTGTTTTATTGACGGTCAATAAAACCGATGCTTCTAGCCTTTCTTTTCAGAATTCGCGTTTGTAATTCATAGTATTCACAGTAAAGTAAAACTTTTAGTGTATGGTTTGGGGGGGGGGTGTCCTATTTTATTGATTTTATTGTCAAAGAAGTTACAATAACATCAAGTAAATGAAAAGGAACATAAACATCAGATTTACATAATTAGCTCACTGGGAGAAAAGGCCTGCTTTGGGATACCTTTATTACCGGTAACCTAATAATTCTGAGTGATAGTCTGGGGCAATTGGGATGTAGTAGACCAGTCTGATAGTATAACCGTGAGACATTCTATTCCAGCTCTTTAATAATGAATTCAGCTCCTGCAGGTGGCTGGCATTTAACATGGCGTGTTATAAGAAATTGTCTTTAAAAAACACGTGTTTTGTATCTTGACTTTTTGAAAAAAATAACGTTAACAAGAAACCTTGGTATTTTTTTCAGAGTTGCCAGAGAATACCGATGGAAATTCCCTTACAAGGCAATGAGGGTTGTGAACAAGATAACGTGTGTGTCTTGGGTTTATCACTCAGATAGGAATTATTAGTACAATAAGTCACAACCCAACAGCCAGGGGCCTTACACTTTCTTTCAGAAGAGGGCTTGATACTCTTAAAATATCGTGCCAAAGGCTTACAAATTCTCTAGTACTGTTTTTCAGTCACAACAGCTCCACAGGGAAATATGTTTGACTGAAGAGGTTATAGATTTAAAATAACCCTATAGAAGATGAATTATTTTAAATGCACCCTTTCTAAGAGACATGTAATGCCAGACCTTTGAAATACACATTTTTATTACACTGATAATATTCCACAGGCTATTACTCACCAGTTACAGTATGTGTTACATATTTTGCGTAACAAGCCTATTCTTTCACCCCAGTTATGGAAAAGTGTTCTTTTTAGTTTTTACCTGTCCAAGCCAGAGTTTGGTGTTAATCACATGGGTTGGGTTGGAGCCTTGTGAAGCCCGATTTCATATAAAGCACACCACCCAAAGAGAAACAACTCCTTCAGTGTGGATCAGTTTCTGGATTTTAGGTCTCTAATTTACTCAGTACTACAGTATAATGTAAAAAATTGGGCAAAGCATTTTTTTAGGCAATGGAGTGGTAGGATGCTACCTTAAGAAGCATGAACTTAAGAAGCTGTAATCAACTCCATCTCTAGCCAGAGACAGGCATGGTGCCTGAGTTTCAATTTTACTATTAAGAAATGCATGATAATATGAGTGATATGTGATAATAATGAAATGTTTGATAATATGAGTGATATAGCAGCCCAAAGATATACTGGTAGGTTAACTGGATTCTGGGAAAACTGGCCCTGGTGTGTGTGTGTGTGTGTGTGTGTGTGTGTGTGTCTGTGTGTCTGTCTGTGTGTCTGTGTGTCTGTGTGTCTGTGTCCACCTGTGCCTTACTCTTAGCTACAACCCAAAGATACCAGGAGAGCCCGGTACTTCCCGAAGTCTGAAGGTTGGCAGATAACTGTACTGGGGTGCTTCAGAAAGACTGCAGACACTGATTGTGACTGAATATCATGCTAGATGCAGTTTCTTTCCATCGCATATAGGCAATAAGTGGGAAGCAATGTGAGAAAACATGTTTAACCAGAACTCAGATCTGAAACTGGTGGACATTGAAATCCTGGGAACGTCTTGAAAGCACTACTGCGATCTCTGTCCTCAAATCCCTTTGAATGATACTCAATGTTGGGCAATGTTAGCCTTGAACTAGTATTGCTCCAGCACGTGGTCACAATCAATGTACACAGGCTCACGTTGCTCTGGCGTGCTGTCAGACAACTGTTGCTAAGGGTCAAAGGTTGGGTTGCTAAGGACAGCAGTGGAGTCTCTGGTGACTTTGACGTTGCAGTTGGGGAAAAAGCTCAGTTGTTTCACTCTGGGCAAGGTCTTTGAAAGAGTGAAGAAATAAACCAAAACGCTGACTCATGGGCAATAAGACAATGAGTCATTAAAGGTAATGCACATATTGCCTGCTTGAAAATATTAAAAGCTAGAAGATATCCTGAATCATGTGTCATATTTTCTGATACACGTTTTAATATTAGAATTTGATTTTTACTTATAATTATATCAACAGTTTTACACTGGATACTTGTTTACGTGTATTTCAATGATGTTGTGCACATCTTGGGTACAATGTGCACAATAACAATCATCAACTCCAGATTTTGCTATCACAAGCATCAGTTTAAGATTGCTGACACAGATAAAGAAATGACGTTCCTTTAGTTGCGCCAGATTTCCTGTGATTCAATGGCTTTTCAGAGAGCATTGTGGATTTCGTCAATCTCAGGATTCAAATCCAGACTGAAGACCTACAGTATTACGTCAGCCAAGCCTACTCACACCTTACAGTATAGCCTGCAGCAACCATGGCTGCTGGTGCTGCTGTACATGCCATTGTGTGTCTCTGTGCTGGCCCACCAGGTAGAGACATCTGTTCTGACCAAATTATCCTATTCTCCTCCCCACATGTCTGGATGGTGCCCCGGCTGGGCACCATCTGAGTTGGATGCTGCATCACTGCCATGGATCCAAGAGGGACATCGTGGATATAGCTATTGTTTAGGAGGATTTTGCTGGTCTACCGAGATCTGCATGGAGTACTGACATACAGAAGACATGATGGATGGATGGATTAATACCTTCATTCATTTATTTCCTTTTTTTAATTGTAAAATGTTAGTATGCCCAAAGAGGTTTCTTTTTTCCTTACTAAGGAGCTTTTGGTTCCTCTCCTCTGTTGTCTTCTGGACTTTTCTGTTCTGTATTGACAAAATATATGGTTACCTACATTGTTAAGCGCCTTGGGGCAACGTTGTTGTGAAAGGCGGTATATAAAAAATCAATTGAACTCATGCGACCTAATGTAAAGAATATTTCAGCACTGACATGCCTTTCTCTTTTTTCATTGGTATCTGCATATTGTGCACATTTTTACTATTCCAAGAATCTCAGCACATTATCAAAGGGAAGAGTCTGCCTTTCATGTAGGAGGTCATTGGTCATGCATAATGTTTGATCACATCCTTGGTTTGCCTCTAAATTATCTGCCTGGATTTTTCAGATCCTTGAATACTCAGATCGTGCATACTCAGATGAGGCTGACAAAATGTTTCAAAGTTTTTGTCAATCCTTTTTAGGACTGTGTGCTACAAGTGAGTGTTTATACTAGTGAATGGTCAGGGACGCTGAAAAAAAAAAAGAGGTAAAAGCAATTAAAGTTAATTTTCCTTCTGTGTTCCCAGGTCCATGCCTGATCCTGAAATAATCTGTTGTTGGCCCAAGGACTGAAATGAAAATAAGGAAGAAACAAGTGAGACAGTTTGAATTCTTCAAAAAGGTCTAATAAGAACTACCATCACTATGCAAGAATACAAATAATAGGACCTCATGTATCAACGGCGAGATAAATAATAATTAGTTGTTATTATGAATCAATAATTGTTATTTATTATTACACTGATAAGTCAGGGAGAAATTTTAAACCAAACAAACACCGAAACTAAGACATATTTATTTAAGAGGACAAATGCAGTACATGTCTCATCAATTCTAACACACATTAAAGGACCAATGTGAATTGTGCATTGAACAAATGCCACATTTGAAACTTTTGAGTAGCGGGTGTAAAGAATGAATGGCTTTTTCTGATTTTACAGGAACTGGTGCATTATATTAGACCAATTGTGGTTTTCTAAGCCACCAGACCTGTTCTTCTTCCTACAGACTGCAGCCTCTTCAAGACATCTGTAGTTCTGGTTACCCATTCAGAGGAACCAGGAACCTGGCTCCAGAGATATGCAAGAATGAGATAGGGCCACAGAGATAGAGAGCAAAAAAACAAGTTTGTCTGCGTTGGTCCTGGTGAGGCAGAGATGGTGAGAATCGATGAGGAGGTGAGGTAGGACTTGTTTGTGCCCACAGGCTTGAAGACATCTGAAGAAAAACAAACAATAATTATAAAACAGTCTAACAGCAACTTTTACGCCCTTATTTGGCCATTTTGAGTCACGGTGCGGGGAGTGTCTGTCGTGGACGTATGACTGTGAACAGACACAGGGAGGAGCGCACACCCTCTGAGCTGTAGAGGAACGCAAACATTATTAATACAACCCACAGAAACCTCTTTTGTAGCTCGTACTGTAGTGAAACATACTGAAAATGGCAGAATATCCTAATTTAGCTTCCTGAATGAATCCCCTTTCCACCTATATGAATCTTCTTTAAGGGGACAGCACTGGATCACTGGACCTAGTTAAGCAGAGCTTCAGTGCTGACAATTTCTGTCTGATTTCTCCTTGTGACAACAAGGGAAATATAAAGCACTGAACTGTCATTGTGAAGAAGGAAGATTTGAGGTATTTGTGGGATAGGTGTTTGACTTGATGTTTTCTTCCAGATTAAGAGTAGGAAAAAAGTCACGCCTAGCATGCTGCAAAAACAAAAATGAAGAAAATATTCAAAAACTCAATCTTAAATCAAGATGTAGATACTGAAAGTTTTTTTTTTCTCACAGTTCTCATTATAATACAGGTCCAGATTGTTCAGTTTATTAGACTAGGCCAGTCCTGGAGGTCCAGTGTTTCTGCAGGTTATTTTTAATTGCAACTCAGGTCTTGATGGGCTAATTTAGCTAGTCACTGGTTTTAATGACAGCAATTTAACAACTT